GGCATAGACTCCCCCTACACGCCCGACGTTTGTTTGAACATTAGTGTAGATAATATATTGTAATGAGAAAAGTTTATATAGAGCAGAGGCTCTAAACAATCAAATTAGAGCTTACCTCAAAATTTTCACTAGAAGAGGTTGTTTTGATGCCCAAATATACTCAAATTGACCATCTCGACATCAAAATGCATGGATGTAAGAAAAACATGGATTTCATATTTTGAAAATAGTGCATTTTGTAATGCATTTTTGGACGTCAATTTTTAATATTTTCAAGTTTTTATAGATCTGTGGATCTACACTATTTTTAAAGCTTTAAACTTTATAAATAAAGATGAAAATATATTTTAAAGCTATCACAAATATTCTCAGTATTGAAACCACATTTCTCGACATTATACAAGGTATGCTCTAATTTGATTGTTTAGAGCCTAGACTCTATACAAACCATACCCCATTCTAATATACACAATTTTAAGGCTTTAAATTCTTTTTTTTGTTCACCGCCATCAGGGTCAAGGTCGAGGTCGAGATAAATGACTTCGAAAGTTTTTTTTTATGTCAAAACTACAGATTTTTTGTGAGATTGGAGACCCTTTGTTTTTTCTTCATATGCATGCGCCCAATTTTAACTTTTTTATAAATAGACAAATGAAAAATCACCAGTTATTTCTTTAAAATAGCTACGGATACTTAGATCGAAGTTTCGACGGTCGATAAAATAGATCTCAAGGCGAACGGTAGACAAAAACTTGTCACCTCAGGAAAGTGGTAGAAGGCCGTGGAGGCTTCGGGCACCCAGAAAAATCTCGAAACAGCCCCTGAATAGTTCGATGACATACAAACACCCCTAGGGTTATTTCCGACCTTTTTCTCGAACCTTCATGACTCATCCTCCTCTCTCTATAAATACCAGTCCCAAGCTCCTTCTTAAGTCATCAAAACAAAGCATTCAAAGCTCGGATACGACGATTTTCTCTCTTAAATCTCATCTCATATTCTCATCTTCAGTTTCTCGCTTAAAAACTTCTTCCCCATTTCCTCTTTTTCTCACATTCAGTGATTTGTGCTTCAAATTTACAGAAATGTCTTTGATTTCAAGCCTCTTTGGGCGCAGGAATAATGCCGTGGACCCCTTTTCTCTAGACATTTGGGACCCTTTCAACAACTTTCCTTCTCTCTCTACAGAGACCTCAGCCTTTGCCAACACACAAATCGATTGGAAGGAGACTGATAAGGCCCATGTTTTCAAGGCCGATTTGCCGGGACTGAAGAAAGAGGAGGTGAAGGTGGAGGTTGAAGAAGGCCGGGTTCTAAAAATCAGCGGAGAAAGAAAGAAAGAATCGGAGGAGAAGAATGATATGTGGCGCAGGATAGAGAGAAGTCGGGGCAAATTCCTGAGGCAATTCAGGTTGCCGGAGAATGCGAAGGTCGATCAGGTGGCAGCTTCAATGGAGGATGGGGTTTTGACTGTGACTGTGCCTAAGGAGGAGGTGAAGAAGCCTGAGGTGAAGGCCATTGAGATTTCTGGCTGAGAACTCTGAAGGGTTCTTGTGATTTTTATTTTTAACGTTTTGGTGTTGAAAAATTGTGTTGGGAAGTAATTCGATGTTGTACGTCCATTTGCTTGTGAAGTGTGAAAATAATTTTCGAGTATTTCGGTATTTGGTATTAAAAAGTTGTGTTGGGAAGTAATTCAATGTTGTATGTCCATTTATGTTTTTTTGCATGAACGGTGAAAATAATTCTCGGAGTAAAAACGATTTTTTTTTTTTTTTTTGGTCTCTTCTTGCGGATTGCGTTATATCGGTGATGGCCACAGCCGATTAGTCAGGCCGACTCTGACTTATCGAATTAGTTCTGAGTTTTGTACTGTAAAAGAAAATGGGGGTAAAAAATCCCCAAATACTAAAAGAATATTGTTAAAAAAAAAAATTACATTTTATATATATGTTATTTGATATTTTCATATACAATAAATGAAACAAAAAATATTATATTTCTGGACAATTTTTTAGCGTGAGGTAATATTTTTTGACGGAACTAATAATTGAAGGAAATTAAGTAATACACATTAGTCAAAAATATTGCTCAAAACTTGGGGATTTTTTTGTTGTCAATCCCGGAGTACTTCCTTGTATATTACCCTTTGAGGTTTTATGTTTTTCGCCTCTTTGGTCTGTGTTTCGCCCATCGGCGTGATCATCGTCCTAAATAATTAATCATCGTCCTAAATAATTAGCCAATGGAACCTTCCACGTGTCTGTCCAAGGGTGTAGCTGCTATGCTTGACTCTCGACTTCTTCTCGAACTAATGTAAGCCTCTTCATCTTTTTTACCTTACGACACTGGCTACAACTATGGAGGCCTCTAAAATCCATCCATTGATAGACCTGTAAAAAACTTTAATACATTTTTTGGATAGACCTGTAAAAAGCTTTAATACATTTTTTTTCCAAATTGGCCGATTCATGTCAATTAGTGTATAAATTAGTCAATTTGTATAATAAATCGGCCGATTAGTTCTTTTGGGGTATGTAGGGTACCCCTTAAAATAGGGACTACTCGAGCTCAGCCTGCCCGGGTCAGAGTTAAATTGGCCGATATGAAAAAAAGGGGCCCGGACTTTTCAAGCACTGGTTTATACAACGTAGGAACTTTATACTATGCAAGTCTGGTGGACCTCAAAAACCAATCAAAACACTCTTTAATTGATCTGTTGTTGATCATCTCGGCTTCAAGACATTAAATGATAGAAAATTAGATATCATAAAAATTGTGCTTGCAAAAGTATTATTGGGAGTGTACATAAGTGTCGATGGATCTACATCATTTTTGGAGCCCTGTATTATATAATAAAAATAAAAATAAACCTTCGGATTAGTATGGACATCAATATTGAATCAAAATTTTATGGTGCACCTTATTTACATTTAGAGAGGTGTTGTGGGAAGCTATTAAAATAATTTTCCCCGCTTTCTAAATGATTTTGCATCGATTTTTATTTCCACCTAGTTTTGACTTCTCTCTCGAAATAGAAAAGTGCACGTATCAAATTTTGACAGGCCAAAGTTTTGAGCTACTGCGTGAAAAAGGCTAAAGCCCATCTTTGGTAGAGAGACTGCTTCTCACTTAGTTGTACGATACATTTTGATATAAGATGTGAGAGCTTAAACTTAGGCGGGTTGGTTATGTGTGGCGGGAGGTCCAAGACAACACTTATTAGAAGGTGTGAGTTAGTTTAAGTGGAAAGTATGTCTAAAAAAACATATTAAGAAGTAGTGAAAAAATATATGAGGACTTATAACCTCAATGGAGATATGTTCTTTAATAGAGTAAAATGGTGGACCAGGATTCATGTAGCCGACTCCAATTAATAGATACAAGCTTTGACGATGATAATACGAGACAAATCACTTCATTCTAAGTTTGTATCTTTATGAATAGAATGAGGAGAATCCTAGTAACATATTAAGAAATGAGGTGACTCACAACTAAGTTGCACATTACTTTTATCTTGACATGCATATAACAATTTAGAACAAGATGATACATATGCAAAGTACATCTCAAAAATTCTTGGAAAATGCTGATTTGATGCTAGAAAATCTTCTAATTAATAATGTTGACTCTGAGATGCATGGATACGATTTCAATTTATGAAAATAGTGTATTTTGTGGATTCTTATATGAATCTTTTTTGATATAATGTGAAATATTTTTGCTTGTAGTACTCTACATTATGTTTGGACGTTATTGAGTGATTCGGCTAAGAACTGGTCGAGCTATTCCTTGGTGAAACTTCTTGCATCAACTATTCAGTGCTAAGTAGAAAGAATTATAAAACGATTTTGAATCAAAAGCGAGATTTCAAGAGACTCCTAGGTTTGGGCGACGCTTAGCTCCAAAGTTTAAGTGTAATAGAAAATGTCATGCAATAAATAAAATTTTCCATCTAAAACTTACACTATTATTATCTGTAATGGGTTCATATGCTTCTGAAGGCTCCACACTAAGTTATTAGAGGTTCTTCACTAAGTTCCCATACATTGAAAGACTAAAATCTACTTTCAATGAAGTCCTTGTTTTTATTTAAGCTTCTCTAATACAATATGTAATAAATTTTCATACAACAACACTCTGTCACACAGCCACATTCTCTTTTTATGCCTCAAAACTCTTGAAGAGGCCCCATATCCTTTCACCAATATGCTACTTGAGTAGTGGTGATAAGAATAAGTATCTTATGATATAT